TCTAATACTGTTCTAATCATTTGGACCAAATAGGATGTGCTTCAAAAAAACCACCTGGAACTTCTTAAGTTCACTGGAGCAAGTTATAAAGAAGTGTTAGAGATTCAGGTGGCTGTGGGTAAAGCAATTGTCCCCAAGGTGCAAACAGTAAGTAGCTTATGTTAACTTGGAAATTGAATGGATATGAGTGGTAATTTACCTAAATTAGAGACCAGGACAAATTGAACACAAAGTGTATGTGGTTTTGTTTTTCTCCACTCCTGTTCTTCCACCATCCTCCAGTATAGAATAGTAAGAGGAATTTTAAGAGATTGTTACCTTTTGGACAAACTGTACCAAGGGATCTCCCTTTGATTGTAGATTCAGTTATTGAACATTGGTTTCTGACAGTTACCTCCACATATTTGATTTGGCTATAATAATGAAGGTAACAGTGAGGGTGCCCACTTTTCAAATCACGTGTTAAAGCCTGACAGCTTACCTCCCATTTCTTGCTCTTCTCATTCTTTGCCTCTGCCTTTTATCTCTTACTCCATTCATGTTATTAATACAGGTCAATTTGTCTTGCCAGCTGTAGATAGCTTATATTTAGTTACCACAGCACATTTTATGTTATACATCTGAAGTGAATTTTTCAGGCTCTAGATCTGTTTGAGAGATCAGGACATCAACAATCATTCCTGCCAACATCTCTTGATGATCTTGATAAGCAGCTGCACGGAGGACTGACTTGTGGTACAATAACAGAGGTGACAGGCAGTTACTTCCCTTCTTTATCTTATTGGTTCTTTGTGACACAGAGATCACAGAGATAAACACCATAGAAGCCTTGAAATTCTGTTAAAAGCTAACATTTTATGACTGACCAGTAAAAGCTAATATCAATCTAAAACCTAATCAAAACTTGTTTTGTGGAGTTTTCTGGGTGGTCTGGTTCTGCCTTATTTTCATGTGCAATTAAGTTTTAAACTTCTTCAAGTAGTCTGTGCATCTGTAATCATATCTGTGTAGTTGTATTGGCATGGTCAACTCTTCATGCCTCATTTAACTACTAAAATTACAGTTGTCTGACATTTTGAAATGTCAGACAACTCTAATTTTAATATTTCTGCTGAAGTTTTTCCAGAAACCTTTAGTCATTCATTTAAAAACTGACAGTTTTTACCATGAATTTTTTCGTCATTTGATATTAAAATTAGAACCTGTAAGTAAAAATTTTGAAGTATACTAGTAGTTCATTTATGTCTCATAACCCTTGTCCTCATTGTTTATGAACTCATAGATAGCAGGGCCAGCAGGATGTGGCAAGACTCAGTTCTGTATCATGCTCAGTGTGCTGGCAACCCTGCCTCAAGACAAAGGAGGACTGGATGCTAGTGTTATTTACATTGACACTGAGGCAGCTTTCAGTGCAACAAGGTTGGGTACCCAGTATGGAGTTTTATATTTTGCACAGGGAAATCATTTATGATGTAATTTCTGCATTTCACCTGTACGTTATGCCCTGGAGACTCTTAAAGCCTCGCCTCCTCTGAAGCCGAAGCATCTTTGACAGTAACTGTAAAGAATTCTTCTGCTTGAGAAGAGGTGAGGTATGACATCTGTGAGTTTGTTAAGCTTGACATTTGTGGGGTTTATATAAGAGAAAATATTGTATATTCATAGAAAGTACTCTGGAGACATGCATTGTCATGTACATGTGTGTATGTATTGTGGAATATCCATATAAGGAAGGTAAGGTTAGGTAAGGGAGAAGATGGTTTTCTAAAGATAAAGGGAGAACTGGGGTCCATTTCTTGAAGGTCCTGAGAAGTTTTCGCACCCAAAAAGCCGTGGCAAAATCTCAAACCTTAAGACCACAGAGCTGTTTTATGCACAAATTCTTAAAATGAACAAAAGCTCCCTTCATACATGAAGTTTCAGGCGTATACACCTCTCTGGCTTTAAATAACGATTAAATAAAAATGGCTTTGTGGGCCCGAAAAGTTTCCAGGGCTTTCGAGAAATGAGCCCCTGGAACTTCCAGAGCCATGACTGGATGGCGTGGTGAGGAGGAGGAGTGGAGAAGGGGGGTAGGTAGGTACGTAAAGTCTGCAAATGAGCCAAGGTGCCCGCCACGCCGGAGCTTATCCTGGGTTCTGTAGTATGAAGTGACTAGGAGTATTGCTACTCCCACCTGGATGGGAAGCTAGTCCATCGCAGGGTTACCCCCAGCATTATACACCACCCAAGAACACAGCGCGATGTCCTGGTCCAGGGCTCGAACTTGGACCGCTCGATCCAGAGACAAGCACACTAACCATGAGGCCACTG